CGCCTATAAAGAGTATCATCCATATCTAGCATATAATTTAGAATGCCAGACTATTCTGCTGCATCAATAACACTGTCAAACAAAGTTGAATCACTTAAACAATTGTTCGTCTTTAAATCATTAATAGCATCATGAGCACATATCATTTTTTCAAATGAAGTATCCTGTATAGTAACACTAACGGGAGAAATCTTTTTTTCTTGTATTGCAGAAAACTTTTTGGGCCTATTTTGCTCATTGTTATCACGAAGGACTTCTTCACGATCTATAAACACAGCACCTTTTAAACGTGCAAGATTAATACCATGTTGATCTACCATGGCATCCCCTTCATCATCTACTATACAAGCCCCCTGATGTTCATCATAAGAGTTAACAATATTCTTTTCTTTTAGTGTTTGAGCTAAGCTTTCCCTAGTGAAATTTTTATTAGCCTTACCTTGTAACTTCTTTTTTTTCAGCAATTCTCTACGCTTTTTATATAATTTATATGACTCAGCAAATTCCTCATCTGCATTAAAATTTGCACCACCAGGATTACCAGGGGGTATATATTTCCTACTTAATTTCGTTCTAGCTTCAGCGTTATACATGACAAAAAAGCTGCAAGTCAAAAGCATTAATATCAATAAAGTTTTAGAAAGAATCTTTAACATGTTGCTCTATAGCTGATATTGTATCTCAAAGGCTAGCAAATAATGTGCTTTAAGTAAACTAGATTTTTTCAAGATACCAGGTCTATGAGACTTCTTGATTAATAAATTAAATAACTGTATGTTGAATTACAGTTAAAACACTAAAGAACATAAAACTGAAAATTAAGTATGGAAGATATATGTACATAGAAGAATTCTTTGGCTTTATTGCGTTGGTTACAACTATAGTTGGGTTATTACCTCAAGTATATAAAGCACACGTCACTAAACTTACTCGTGATATATCAATGCTAATGTTAGTGAACTGTCTTCTTTGTTCATTATCTTGGCTTGGCTATGGTCTCTGTCAAGGTTCACTTTTTGTGATATCTAGCAATATTGCTGCATCAGTAGTAAGTATAGTTTCAATTATCCAAAAATGTTATTATGACGCAAAATCTTCAGGAAGCACTTCATAACCATCACAAACAGCTAGAGAAGCACGTGGCATGCTTATAGAAGGATAAATTTAGCGTTGCATTTTAAATACACATGTTATACCCTAATGTATATTTATTATGAACAATTTTTAGTGGAGGCTAGAGTTATGCATATAGTGCAAAACCCAGAAAAATGTATTAAGAATCTTATTCCAGCTTATAAAAACACTGGGAGTAAGATAGATCAAATAATAGGTGAATTCACAAAGAAAAGTAAAATAGGCTTGATGTGGGATTCTAAAGTACCTGAAAAAGATAAAAAGAAGCATGCGCTTGCATTTTATGACAACTTTAGTTGGCGTGGAGTATCAAGTATAAATATGGTAACTAACACAGTAACAGAACTTTATGTTCTTTATGACGAATTTGAGAAGAAAACTCAAGAGATAGATAGAATTATGTCAAAGCAAGGCATAAATGTTGCTGAACCTAAAATCAACGATTTGATCTTTCAATTAAAAGAGACCATAGAAAAAGCAAAAAGAAAAAAAAAATGAGACCACAAGTAGCACGGTTTATAATTTAAATAAGGAGCTGATAGCGGTTCAAAGTCAGGTAGTAAGCAATTTGCAGTCTATTCATTGGGAGATTTCACAAAGAAGAAATCTTACTGCAGCAGATCAACTGGCACAAGGTGTAGATCTAAATGAAGAGTGTAGAGGACTTCATGAAGAATATGAAAATCGCAACAGAGAACTTGAAATGGAGAACCAAGTGTTAAGGGAAGAAAAGCAAGTGTTGGTAGAGGAAAAGCAAGTATTGGCGGAGGAAAAGCAAGTATTGACGAAGGAAAAGCAAGTATTGGCGGAGAAAATGCAAGTATTGGTGGAGAACATACTAGTATTGATGGAGGAGAACCAAGTGTTAAGAGAGGAAAAGCAAGTGTTGGTGGAAGAAAGGCAAGTGTTGGCGGAAGAGAACCAATGGCTAACACAAAGACTTGAGGGTCTCGAAAAAAAAGTTGCGACATTTATGCAAAACGTAATTGTAGAAAATGGCATATTACAACGCAGGTTATAATGCAAGAGGAAGCAATAAAATTTCTTACTGAATACAGAAAACACCAAGTATTATGGTGGGGCTTCGGCCCNGCGAGAAAAAATTTGATGTTACAGAGTTTTTAGTTAAAAAGGACAAATATCAATGCGCTGAACTGCTGATGGAGTTTAGCGATAGAAAAAAATATTGGTGGTTGCCATGGGGTAAAAAGATTACAGATACTACTTTCAACAAGACAACATGTCGTTGGGCATTTGAATATCACAATTATTCATGGTTTTGGCGGGTAATTCTTGGCTTGTTTACTCCAGTTTTGCTGCACCGCCAAGTTTTAAAGTGGATTAATATTGGATATGGAGGGTATATGTATAGAAGTAATGGTCAGACGATTGTAAAAAGTTATTTAACAATCGCTGCTGATTTTAACACTGTTGGCGGGACATTAAAATCGCTCGGATTTTCTGAGCCATTGGAGGAGGGGCAAGAAGAAGTGCCGCTATTGCAGCAACTTGATGATAGTCTTGAGATGGTAAAGAGGAACATGAAAACTGCAGAGCAACATAGGCAATTTGTTGCTGAGATTGATAAAAAAATGAAAAAATCATCTCTGAAAATTCACTCAGATAAGGTAAATGCTGGTGACGATAAGCAAGCGGCCCTAAATGCTTGCAGATCACTAATTAAAAATGCCAGTGAATTTTTTTTAGACTATATTCATGCTGATTTTAAATATGAACATTACAATAAAATGAAAATTAATTCATTGGGTGTGATAAATTTGCTAAATGTCAGATTTTTGGCGAAGCTGGGTCCAATATCGAGAATAAAACAAGAAGAGATAATAACCTATACACATAAATTTTTAAAGGCAAGTCGTAGTAGTCTGGAGCAGTTCATAAAAAGCAGATCTTGTGACGGTTATAGTAGTGATTGGGCGCAATATACGTTTGAACAACACAGGGACGACGCATTGAATTACTTAACATCATGCATTGAAGGATGTGAAAAATTTGACAGCCAATGTGAAGAGATACTGGAAGAATGTAGGCAAGATGCCAAGTTGCATGACCNGTTGGCGGGACATTAAAATCGCTCGGATTTTCTGAGCCATTGGAGGAGGGGCAAGAAGAAGTGCCGCTATTGCAGCGACTTGATGACAGTCTTGAGAGGGTGAGGAGGAATATGGAAACTGCAGAGCAACATAGGGAATTTGTTGCTGAGATTGATAAAAAAATGAAAAAATCATCTCTGAAAATTCACTCAGATAAGGTAAATGCTGGTGACGATAAGCAAGCGGCCTTAAATGCCTGCAGATCACTAATTAAAAATGCTAGTGAATTTTTTTTAGAATATATTCATATTGATTTTAAATATGAATGTTATAACAAAATGAAGATTAGTTCGTTAGGTACGATGAATTCGCTAAATACAGGATTTTTAATGAGGTTATCGCAAATATCAAGAACCAAGCAAGAGAAGATAATCACACCCACATACAAGTTTTTAAAGGCAAGTCGTAGTAGCCTGGAGGAGTTCATAAAAAGCAGATCTTGTGACGGTTATAGTAGTGATTGGGCGCAATATACGTTTGAACAACACAGGGACGACGCATTAAATTACTTAACATCATGCATTGAAGGATGTGAAAAATTTGACAGCCAATGTAAAGAAGTACTGGAAGAATGTAAGCAAGATGCTGAATTAAATGACCTGCTGTACGATTCGATATTTGACATGTCATCTAAAAATAATAAGCAATTGGAGCAGTTACACAAGTTGAAAAAATTTGCTGAAAATGCCTTGCAAAAAACAATAGGCATTATAGACATGAAAGAAATGGATGAATATATGGCGCTGCCTTTTGCCATGTATGTCGGCGCTTTAGCGTTATGCAGCAACGCACCTGAAGGCAAAAAAGATGAAGAGGTATGTTGCACATGGTTAATAGAAAAAATTTACTGTTTTTTTTATTGTCTTACTGTTTCTACCGATTCATTACCTGTACACGTTTCAGTAGAGGTAGGAAAACAGCAGAAGGATTTTAATAAAATATTAAATAATTTAGGTTCTTATCTTGATGTCAGAAGAGAAATAAGTTTTTTTCAATTTGTTACGTCCATAGAGATAATCAGCAATAGATTAGCCAAGCAGTTCAATCTTAACCACTATAAACCAATCACTTTAGTGTTTTATTTGGAAGAATCACGCGAACTTGCAGCAAGAATAGAGGTATTTGCCAACAAAGTAGCGGAAGATTTAGTCCACGCTAAGAGAATTCTGCAAGACCAAGAAAAAATTGGGGAAGGTTTTGCAGAGGTTAGAGAAGGTTTTGCAGAGGTTAGGGAAGGTTTTTCAGATATTAGGGAAGGTTTTTCAGAGGTTAGGGAAGGTTTTGTAGAGATTGGGAAGGGTCAAGCGGAAATTAGGGAAGGTTTTTCAGATGTTAGGAAAGGTTTTGCAGAGATTAGGGAAAATCAAGCAAAACTGAAGAATGGAGTACAAGCCTTTGAAGCAGACTTTGATGAACTCCTTGCAGTGTTTACACAACCCCAACCAAGTGGTTCATTTCCTGCACAAAACCCTCAACAATCACCAAGAAGCTCATTAAGAGATTCAGAACCATCACGTCATAATAAGTCTATGAGTAGAGATTAATCCAAGTTCTAAAATGCAAGAGGAAGCAATAAAATTTCTCACTGAATACAGAAAATACCAAGTATTATGGTGGGGCTTCGGCCCTACCCTGCTTGAAGATCTGTGTCGCGAGAAAAAATTTGATGTTACAGAGTTTTTAGTTAAAAAGGACAAATATCAATGCGCTGAACTGCTGATGGAGTTTGGCGATAGAAAAAAATATTGGTGGTTGCCATGGAGTAAAAAGATTACAGATACTACTTTCAACAAGACAACACGTCGTCGGGCATTTGAATATCACAATTATTCATGGTTTTGGCGGGTAATTCTTGGCTTGTTTACTCCAGTTTTGCTGCACCGCCAAGTTTTAAAGTGGATTAATATTGGATATGGAGGGTATATGTATAGAAGTAATGGTCAGACGATTGTAAAAAGTTATTTAACAATTGCTGCTGATTTTAACACTGTTGGCGGGACATTAAAATCGCTCGGATTTTCTGAGCCATTGGAGGAGGGGCAAGAAGAAGTGCCGCTATTGCAGCAACTTGATGATAGTCTTGAGATGGTAAAGAGGAACATGAAAACTGCAGAGCAACATAGGCAATTTGTTGCTGAGATTGATAAAAAAATGAAAAAATCATCTCTGAAAATTCACTCAGATAAGGTAAATGCTGGTGACGATAAGCAAGCGGCCTTAAATGCCTGCAGATCACTAATTAAAAATGCTAGTGAATTTTTTTTAGAATATATTCATATTGATTTTAAATATGAATGTTATAACAAAATGAAGATTAGTTCGTTAGGTACGATGAATTCGCTAAATACAGGATTTTTAATGAGGTTATCGCAAATATCAAGAACCAAGCAAGAGAAGATAATCACACCCACATACAAGTTTTTAAAGGCNAATTAAGAGGCAAAAAAATGTATCCAAGTGACATAAGTGACAAAGAATGGGAAATACTAGAGCCATACGTTGCACAAGGGGCAATAGGAAGGCCAAGAAAACACGATATTAGAGCGATTATTAATGCAATAAGATATATAATGAAAGGAGGTTGTCAGTGGAGAATGCTGCCAAAAGATTTTCCGCCATGGAAAACAGTATACGACCACTATTTCAGGTGGCGCAATAATGGAAAATTACAACGAATACATGACTCTTTGGTAAAAAAGGTAAGAGAAATGGCCGGCAAAAGAGCAACACCGTCTGTTGGAATAATAGACAGTCAATCAGTAAAAACGACTCAAAAAGGGGGTCCAGAGGTTACGATGCTGGAAAGAAGATAAAAGGCAGGAAGCGCCATATTATAGTGGATACGTTGGGTCTTGTAGTCACAGCTGATGTGCATAGTGCAGGTGTGCAAGATCGTGATGGAGCATTAGCTCTACTAATAAAAGCAAAGCGCAAAACACTAACTTTGCAGAGATTTTTTGCCGATCAAGGATACACAGGTGAACTGCAAAAGCGCTGTTTTCTGAAAACCGGATGTCTACTCACAATTGCTAAAAAAGATCCAGAAGCTGAAGGATTTCAGGTTATTCCAAAACGTTGGATAGTTGAAAGAACCTTTGCTTGGCTCTCCAATTTTAGGCGCATGAGCAAAGATTACGAACATTCTCCTCTTACCTCAAAAACCAATATTTTCTTTAATATGATTACCGTTATGCTTAATAAATTAGCTACTTAAATGATTTCAAGACATCTTCTAAGAGAATTCTGCAAGACCAAGAAAAAATTGGGGAAGGTTTTGCAGAGGTTAGGAACAATCAAGCTGAGCTGAGGGGGGAAATGCAAGACTTTAGGGCAAACTTTAGAGCATGGGCAGAGCAATTACAAAACCCTCAACCCCAACCAAGTGGTTCATTGAGTGATGTGGAACCAGAACGCCATAATCAGTCTATGAGTAGAGATTAATCCAAGTTCTAAAATGCAAGAGGAAGCAATAAAATTTCTTACTGAATACAGAAAACACCAAGTATTATGGTGGGGCTTCGGCCCTACCCTGCTTGAAGATCTGTGTCGCGAGAAAAAATTTGATGTTACAGAGTTTTTAGTTAAAAAGGACAAGTATCCTACCCTATGTGCTAATAAAGGTGAAAAAAGTTTATAGGCTTTGCATAAAAGTTTATTGCAAACAATTATAGGTTCTGTACAATGGGTGATATTTTTTCAGAGGGCTAGAATTATGAATCCAGAAAACATTTTGGAAAATTGTGTAATGCATGGAGGTGCATTGATAGTAAAGAATTGCAGTGGTACAAATATGCAATCACTTGTAGAAATTTTTAATTATTTGTCATTTACCAAACTTCACTTTGTTAACTCTGATATTAAAGATAGTGATGTGAAAAACTTAAACGGAATCAATAAAGTTGATCATCATCTTCTTCACAATTGTCCCAACATTACTGGTCAAGGATTAATAAAATTGGTGCAAATTATCAAACCTAAGAAGATGTCTTGAAAAGAAATGAAAAGATAAATATACTAAAGCAANAGCGACTTGATGACAGTCTTGAGCGGGTGAGGAGGAATATGGAAACTGCAGAGCAACATAGGAAATTTGTTGCTGAGATTGATAAAAAAATGAAAAAATTATCTCTGAAAATTCACTCAGATAAGGTAAATGCTGGTGACGATAAGCAAGCGGCCCTAAATGCTTGCAGATCACTAATTAAAAATGCCAGTGAATTTTTTTTAGACTATATTCATGCTGATTTTAAATATGAACATTACAATAAAATGAAAATTAATTCATTGGGTGTGATAAATTTGCTAAATGTCAGATTTTTGGCGAAGCTGGGTCCAATATCGAGAATAAAACAAGAAGAGATAATAACCTATACACATAAATTTTTAAAGGCAAGTCGTAGTAGTCTGGAGCAGTTCATAAAAAGCAGATCTTGTGACGGTTATAGTAGTGATTGGGCGCAATATACGTTTGAACAACACAGGGACGACGCATTGAATTACTTAACATCATGCATTGAAGGATGTGAAAAATTTGACAGCCAATGTGAAGAGATACTGGAAGAATGTAGGCAAGATGCCAAGTTGCATGACCTTCTATATGACTCAATATTTGACATGTCGTATAAAAATAATAAGCAATTGGAGCAATTGTATAAGTTGAAAGAATTTGCTAACAATGCCTTGCTAGGAACAATAGGCATTATAGAGATGAGAGAAATGGATGAATATATGGCGCTGCCTTTTGCCATGTATGTCGGCGCTTTAGCATTATGCAGCAACGCACCTGAAGGCAAAAAAGATGACGATATATCCTGCATATGGTGGTTAGTAGAAAAACTTTTTTCCTGTGTTCCTGCTAACATGCTTTTTAACGTGCCTTCTATTTCTTTCTCTTCACCTTTTTTTTCACTGGATGTAGGAAAGAAGGGGGAAAACTTAAATAAAGTATTAATTAACTTAGCGTCTTATCTTGATGTGAGAAAAGAAATAAGTGTTAGTAAATTTTTTGATGCCATAGAAATAATCAGCAATAAATTAGCAGAAAATTTCGATCTTAATCACTATAGACCAATCACTGTAGAATTTTATCTGGAAGAATCACGCGAGCTTGCAGAGAGAATAGAGAGATTTACCAAAAAAGTAGCGGAAGATTTAGCCCACGCTAGGAGAATTCTACAGGATCAAGAAAAGATTAGGGAAGGTTTTGCAGAGGTTAGGGAAGGTTTCGCAGAGGTTAGGAACAATCAAGCTGAGCTGAGGGGGGAAATGCAAGACTTTAGGGCAAACTTTAGAGCATGGGCAGAGCAATTACAAAACCCTCAACCCCAACCAAGTGGTTCATTAATTGATGCAAAACCATCACGCCATAATAAGTCTATGAGTAGAGATTAATCCAAGTTCTAAAATGCAAGAGGAAGCAATAAAATTTCTCACTGAATACAGAAAATATCGAGTATTATGGTGGGGCTTCGGCCCTACCCTGCTTGAAGATCTGTGTCGCGAGAAAAAATTTGATGTTACAGAGTTTTTAGTTAAAAAGGACAAGTATCCTACCCTATGTGCTAATAAAGGTGAAAAAAGTTTATAGGCTTTGCATAAAAGTTTATTGCAAACAATTATAGGTTCTGTACAATGGATGATATTTTTTCAGAGGGCTAGAATTATGAATCCAGAAAACATTTTGGAAAATTGTGTAATGCATGGAGGTGCATTGATAGTAAAGAATTGCAGTGGTACAAATATGCAATCACTTGTAGAAATTTTTAATTATTTGTCATTTACCAAACTTCACTTTGTTAACTCTGATATTAAAGATAGTGATGTGAAAAACTTAAACGGAATAAATAAAGTTGATCATCATCTTCTTCACAATTGTCCCAACATTACTGGTCAAGGATTAATAAAATTGGTGCAAATTATCAAACCTAAGAAGATGTCTTGAAAAGAAATGAAAAGATAAATATACTAAAGCAAATGTAGAATTAAGAGGCAAAAAAATGTATCCAAGTGACATAAGTGACAAAGAATGGGAAATACTAGAGCCATACGTTGCACAAGGAGCAATAGGAAGGCCAAGAAAACACGATATTAGAGCGATTATTAATGCAATAAGATATATAATGAAAGGAGGTTGTCAGTGGAGAATGCTGCCAAAAGATTNAATGAATCTACTACCATATGCGCTAATAAGGGTGAAAGAAATAGTGTTTATTTGTAGAGGTGATCAATAAAGGCGTAAATTTTATCTTGTCACTACTTACTCCAGAAGTTATAATGCTACCTCCGCTTAAACAATTAAAGTGGAGGTAGTTATTGCTTCCCCGCTAAATGGA